CTTTAAAAAAAAAAAGAAAAAGATTATCATTGCTGGTCCCCGTTCTTTTCAAGATAGGCTGCTCTGCAAAGTCTGGCCTTGCTGTCCTGAGCACTGTAGCTCAATTACAAAGGAATTATTTCCTTCATTGGGTTTTCCGATGGGAAACCTTGACTTTTAAAAAACATTCATCGGATTTATTTTCAGATGGGAAAAAAAAGTTCTTTTATTTGCATCAACTGAGTTATTTGTAGCTGGAGAAGAAGAGTTTTGCTAGGAACAACTGAACTCAGATATCTCGGGAGGGACAGCTTTTAGCCTTAGAGAGTCGCCCCCCCCCCCACTTTTTTTTCATGTTGGGATTAGAATACATTGTAGATAGATACTGCTTCTGCAAAGGGCAGAATGCTCATTTGACCTTCTTATTTGTTGCTGTCATTAAACAGGAAACTGTTAAGGATAATTCACTTCTTTTTATGCCAAATGTTTTGAAAGTGTATCTGGAAAATGGACAGACCAAATCATTTCGCTTTGACGGCAGCACCTCCATAAAGGTAAGCGGACCCCCTGATCTCCACCTGGACACTGGCAGGTGTGGCCTGAAAGTCCCACGGTCAGCCTGACGTGGCCACACCTTCTTGCCGAACTGTTCCTTTCTGAGATTTTTTTGGTTGCTTCCAAATATAGTGTGTGAATACTTAAAAACAAACTGGGAAAAAAAAGCTTAAACTAAGAAGGTTCTGCTGTGTGTGTGTGTGTGTGTGTGTGTGTGTGTGTGTGTGTGACCAACCACTAGGGCTAGTTATTTTTATGCAACTCCGGTTTAATTAAAAGAGTATAACGGTCCCCAAGAAGGCTTGGCACCCTGCCTAAAATTTCTTAGCAATGTCAGCCCCCAGGAAGATTAAGACGCTAGCTGTTAATTGAATATCTGCTTCTTTGCTGTCCAGCAAAAACAAGGGGTAGGATGATATAAGATAACATTTACTTTTAAATGCCGTAACCAATTTCATAAAATTAATGCCTAAAAAGAAAGAAATAAGGCATGCTTCTTAGGAGAAGGGGTAAAAAAGGGAGAGTCACAGAGCAGTCCTATTACTGTGGAGCCACAGGTAAGTTGTACAAAAAGGGTATTAGAACAAAGCAGATGGGTTCTTTTCCCCCGTGCTTTCTTCCTGGGGAAAAAAAGTGCATATTCTCTTTTTTATTGGAGAAAAGTGTGTGCAGAAATTGATTGCTCCCTAATGTTCCAGCAGCCTAAAATAAGCTTTCTTCAAATGGCACAATAAAAGAGATTTTTATGGAGGTTTTAAAAAAAGTCCCTAGTGATGATCTGTACAACAATGTATCAAGAGACTATCAAGTGTGTGTTAAAAATGTCTGTCAATAGTGAACCCCTCATTCTCAGTTTTGTAAATTAGTCAGCATAGACCGTACAAGCAGAAGCATTTCTGCAGACGCCCGTTCCCTTATTGTCGTGATACCAACAAGCAGCCTGTTTGGAAGTGCTTAAACTAGGTGCCGATGTAGCAGGTGATAGAGAACACAGTATTCGAGATTGATGATGGAGTGTATAAGCCGTCCTCAAATCCTTCCACACTGAACCGTCACCTGCGTGCGAGACCACTCATTTTAAATGGGGGTGACTGACAAAGTCCTTTTCCTTTATTCCTACTCAAAATCCGTGGATGGCAACGTGTTACTCTTATTATTGATCTGCTAGCCTAGAGGTGGGCAGACTTCTGGAAGGAGATTAAGTATTTCCAGCTCTGTGGCCTCTTTGATCTCCCTCGAAACTACTCTGTTCTGTTGTGTCAGCAAAGCAGCCATAGACGGTGGGCTCCGGAGGTCCTTAAGTCCGCCCTCTGGTTCCATGATTGACTTGAAGGACAAATTGTTATAAGCACAGTTACGGGGTTTGGTTTCGTTTTGTTTTTTAAAGATTTTATTTATTTGTTTATTTATTTATTTGTGAGAGAGTGAAAGCGAGAGATCACAAAGCGAGAGGGAGCAGTAGACTCCCCACTGAGCAGGGAGCCCCATGCGGGACTCGATCCCAGGACCTGGGGACCGTGACCTAAACCAAAGGCCGAGGCTTAACGGACTGAGCCACCCAGGCGCCCTCACAGTTGCATTCCATCACAGCAAGAGGATCCAGGTTAAAATCACCAGTGGGCGTAGGTGCAGAGGGCAGGAGAGTTTTCCAGCTTACAATTTCCCAACACCTTCGTGCTTGTTCTCCCAGCAATCACACGTAACAGCACGGGTGTGGGACTGCCAACCGGGGAGGCTCCAGTGAGCCTCGGTGTTCAGAGTTTTTGTCCGAGGTTGGCCACATAGACAAGCTGAGCCCCCGTGGGCCTGACTGTAGTATCCCGCTCCTCCAGACGTTGCGCTGCAAACACTCGGCCCAAGGCCCTCACGTCGTGGGCACAGGCTCCCTGCTGTCTGTCCGGTTCCCAGGTGGACAGACACTCCCCTGAAGAGCCAGGAGCAGAGAGGCAAATGTTTCTTTGGGCAAGACCACTCCTTTCCTACTCAGACAATATGTAAATGAATGGGCGTGGCCAGCTTACAGGCTCGGGCCAGGCCATCGTTTTTTTGCAGATCCCCAAGGTAACCCATAGGCCCGCATTATTAGATCTCCCTGTGCCACCGCGGCTTGGTCTATGATACCACATGGTCAGGGAGATATAGGTCAAGACTTGAATATATTCCTTAATCGAAATCCCTCTCGATTTCAAAGAGAGTCCTGTTGCTAATTCCCTCTGGCCTTTGTCTTGGGAACCCACACTAGAGTGAGTGAGTTTGATTTCCCTGAGGGTGGTGGACGGCACCAAGAAGACAGAGGACAGCAAGTTCGAGCTCATTGTGCTTGTACCTAACAGCTTTACTATCGCCGCAGACGTTGGTTGGGAGGTGTAAAAGAGAAGGAGTAGAGGTATGAAAGGAATACGACACTGGTTAATAAAAATTGCCAGAATTCTTGCTAGAGAAACGCGGCAAGGAAAAACTATTGCTATCGATTTTCCACTGTCCTCCCTGGTGTTTGAGGAGACTCTTTTATAAAGTATCTGTTGCCACACAGAGGCTGGTTGGTTTGTTCTTTTCTGGCCCTTGAACAAAACTTATGACACAGAGAATCTTTTTTTTATGTAATTCAATATATAGTCAAGGCATTTCTGTTGAATGATGTCTGAGGTGGTGATTAGGTGTGAGGGTCCTTGTTTTAAAGGGTCCTGGAGAAGGGCGCCAGGCTGGCTCAGTCGGTAGGGCATGCCACTCTTGATCTTGGAGTTGTGAGTTCAAGCCCTACACTGGGGTGGCGTTTACTTAATAACAAAAAATAAACAACAGCAAAACAACCATTAAAGGGGCCTGAAGAAATTGAGAAAGGTCTACAGGGAAGAAACAAAATTTCAAAAAGATGAGTTTTAAAAAAAAACAAAACAAAACAAATCTGTAGGTATTGCAGGGTTTTCCTATCTTGACACTGTTGGTACTTGGGACCAGATAACTCTTTATGGTGGGGCATGTCCTGTGTATTGTAAGATTCTTAGCTGTATCCCTCAGTGTTGAGAGCAGCCCCAGTCCCCTTGTGACCACCACAGATGTCTCCAGGAATTACCAATTGCTGTGAGGTAGAATTGCCCCGGCCTGGAATAGCACTGCTCCTTGGGATTTTTAGCATCTGAGTATAAATCATCCTGAAGAGAGATCATTTACGAGTTTTCGAGTATGTGGGGGAAAAAAAAATGGTGTTTCTTTTTTCATTTTCAAAGACATCTGTTTTGCACTGCAGTAAACAAGTGCTTATGTATAGAACACCCACCTCATCATAAATGTTTAATCCTGCCAAAGATTGCTAACAAAGCCTGCTCCTTCTACTTTCCCCAGGGATGTGAAGTAAAAGCGAATGTGTGCGTATTGTTATAGCCCCCCACCTCTATATCAAATAGTGCTACAGTAAATGTGTTCTCTGTGTGAACTCATTTAGTCCTTACATCTTTTCTGAGGCAGGTATTGGTAGACAGGGACATGAAGACACTTAGAAGTTAAATAACTTGCCTTAAGCTGCACAGCTACTGTGAAGTCGAGCTGGGAGTAGAGCCCACATTTCCAGAGCCCACATTCCTGACCACTACCGCATGCCCTTACCAGAAGAAGAGACTCTGGCCACCTGGGTGGCTTAGTGGGTTAAGCATCTGACTTTTTTTAAAAATTATTTTAAGATTTTATTTATTTATTTATTTGAGACAGAGAGTGCTAGAGTGAGACAGCACAAGCAGGGGGAGCCTCAGAGGAAGCGGCAGAAGCAGGCTCCCCACTGAGCAGGGAGCCCAACTAGGGGCTTGATTCCAGCACCCTGGGATCGTGACCTGAGACAAAGGCAGACGCCTAACCAACTGAGCCACCCAGGCACCCCTGCCTCCGACTCTTGATTTTAGCTCAGGTCATGATCTCAGAATTGTGGGATCGAGCCCCCTGTGAGGCTCCATGCTGAGTGTGAAGTCTGCTTAAGATTCTCTCTCTCCCTCTGCCCCTCCCCTCACCCCCTCCCCAGCTTGTGCTCTCTCTCTCTCAAAAACAAAAACAAAAACAAAAAACCCGAAGTATAGACTAAGGGTCAGCAAACTCTCTCTGTACACGACCAGACAGCAAATACCTTGGGCTTCACAGACCACACAGTCTCTCTTGCCAATGCAAGGGGCAAGAGCAGCCATAGACAGTACAGAAACAGATGAGTGTGACTGTGTTTCAATAAAACTTTATTTACACAAACAAACAGGTGGTGGGCTGGATTTGGCATGCAGGGGGTATTTCACCCACCCCCCCCCCCCCCGAGGGTAGGCCACTTTATGAAGTGGTTTGATCACCACCCCATTTGGAAGCAAGGGGACCTGAACCCTCTCCCCTCCGCCGTGGATTGATCAGCTCTGTGGGTCAAATAAGCACCTCCTCCAGCTAGATCAACCTGTTGCCTCCCTGTTTCTGAGCTCCGTAGTGATTTGGGGTGGTGGGTGAGGTCAGGAAGAGGAGCATCAGGCTTCGGAATGAACCAAAGGTACACAGTTCAGACACCTGAAGCCCATCTGTGCAACCTTTTCTGTCCCAGTAAACTCTGCAAGAGAGCTCTGCCAATCCTGATGGCATCTTGTCCATGTTTCCTCTATAAGGATGTCATCTTGACTCTTCAAGAAAAGCTTTCCATCAAAGGCATCGAACACTTCTCCCTCATGCTGGAGCAGAGGACAGAAGGGGCCGGAACCAAGCTGCTCTTGCTTCATGAACAGGAGACTCTAACTCAGGTGTGTGAAATTACACCCCCCAGGTGAGAGCAGAAATTGCACCCGCCCGTGAGAGCAGAGGCTACCCGGCCCCAGAAATCCCCTGTCCTCTCGAATCCTTTAAATTTGCTCACTGCAGCCCCGGGTAGCTCCACTAACGAATGCCCTGGCATTCATAATGTGTTTCACGTCTCAAGGTAATGTTTTCCCTTTTTGTCAATTTCTCATAGACTGTAAGTTGGTGTCACATCCAGAATTATCAAAGACTCAGCAGCTACTCACTGGGAATGTGCCTCCGTGGGTCATATTTTATGTTATGGGAAATGACTTGCTCACCTGTTTTGACCGTTGATCTCCTGAAACTGTTAAAAAGAAATCAGCTCCTGCGATTACTCAAATGAAGCCAATATCATATTTCGTTGTCTTAAGTTCTGGGTGCATACTGGTGACTATTTGTGGAAGCTTGAAATCCCTGCCCCAGGGCTGCCCACTGTAAACATGTGATCTGCCAGTGTGTCCCAGTTCCTGCTTACCAAAATGCCACCCCCATCTGTTCTGTTGGGAGACAAGTAGGCTGCTTGGCTGCTGAATTCAGTGTGGCACCCTGACTTCTCTTGTGATTCGACACAAGCTGGGTGTTTGCTGGAAGTATAAGGGACTTCAACAAGTTGCCTTTCTGTAGGAGAGCTCAGTGATAAGGGGACTTTAGGGAGAGAGGGAGACACACAGGAAGACCAGGAGGAGAAGCAAGGAGTCAAGGTGTCCCCAGCTGGATGGATTAGCAGAAAGTTTGCTCCCACAATATCCCTAAATCTCTTGATTCGGTCCAACTCAGTGCAGGGAATTAGTGACAGAGCTCTCACCGGTTTTCATTTATAGCCCTCTCCCTCGACTTGACCTCTCTTTATGAGGTTTAAAGCAACCTATAGATATTTGAAATCGCGTCACATGTTGTTTATTAACCTGTGCCAAAAGTCCCTTGGAAACAGAGGTCTTCTTTTATAATTTGTTCTAGGGGAACAGGCCCTGATAATCAGAATTCCCCCATGTGAAAGGAGTTTGGCTTGGAGTTCCTCCAGACGCCGGACTTAAGACAAGGGTTTGGGGGCAGGTGGTTTACTGGGAGGCGATATCGGGAAATGATGGAAGAGGAAGAGGAAGGGAAATGGGAAAAATGGGGGTGCCAGTAGACAGCAAGGTAATGAGCCAGTTTCCTCTGTGGGCAGCTGGAGCTCGGTCCTACCGGGAAACACTGCAAGCCAGCGGAGAACATGCTGCAGAGGTATCCCACCTAAGGGGTGGGGTGCGGGGGCATTTGTCCCTTGGTGGTGGCGGTGGTGGGCTGCTCCTGAGGGCAGTCACTCCCTGGCTGTGCAGGGTTGTCGGGCGCTGGCCTATGGTCACAGGTGTTTACAGTGAGCAGCCTTCAGCTGGGAGCAGTAAATGTCAAGGGTATATGGGCATACAGCCAGTTTCTATGAGCCTAATGAAACCTCCCACAATTTTCTGATATTTGCAGTTAGACTATCCCTCTGAACTTCTATCTATTGCGTAGCCTTCATGGGAAAACTGCTTGCTGATTTAGCTGGAGAGAGATTTTTTCAGTCTCTCTTGGTGCTAGGTACACATAATTTCTCGTTCCGGATTGATTTCCAGTTATTAAATTTCCACTCGAATCTTAAAAGGAAACAAAAAGCCCCTAACCCTGATTCTTCCCTTATCTTTCTAAAAGAGGCTTTGTTTCGTGTTTAGCCAGAACTAAAAGCAAAGTGTTAAAACTTTAAGTATACTCTCTAGAAGGAAAATTGGTTGATTTAAATATCCTGAGACTAACCAGCTATATGCCTTTTGCAAGTCATTGCATATGAAAGGTTCAATCACCAAAATATTTATAGGCATGGCAGAAAGGGAGAGTAAGTATAAGAAATGTGTCTAATAACAAAAATCATTTAAATTAATCATTGAAAATATTCCATTTTGGTGAGAACCCCCAAAAGAACTTTTAAACAGCTCCGAATTTCTGGCAGTTTGTAACTAAACTTTACATACAAAATATTATTGTCTATTTACATACTACTGCAAATTTCCAGGAAATTGTTTTCTTGTTTGTTTTAGGGATTGTTCTTTTTAGGAACTGCATTTTCTAATGAGTCTGAAGCACTTTTTTTTGCGTTACATGATTTCTCAAAAAACCTCCTGATGATAAAAGTAGACTCAAGATCGCTTGTGGAAAATTTGAGAAAGATAGATTCTAACCAGTAATGAAATGATAATCCAACTTTCTAATCTCAGCCCAGACCTTCTGACAAAATACCCTGTGACCTCACCTTACAACCCCACAGCAGGCCTGAGCAGTGCTTCCAGCCTCTTGGAGTTCCCACATTTTCTTCTTCCTGGTTTGCTTGACCTTCAGCTGGTGAAGAGCCAGCCGCCAGCCCATGGGCTGGTGAGTCCAGTCAGCTCTGTAATCCCACCCACAGCCAGAAAGCTGGGTCAGTGTTACTGCTTCTCAGGATGCCTTATACCTTTAAAAGGACTGTTTTCCCATTGAAATTCATCAGCTCAACAAAAGTAGGGATGGCGACTGGAAGAATATGTGCGCATGCACACAACATGGTGTTCAATAAAGCTATTGTTATTTTTATTTTGAATTTTCAATTGCCATTCACAAACATTTTTATTTTGCCAGATTTGTCCTCTGTAACGAAGGAGTTACAAGGCCATGAAGCTACGTACAGATACATAGAAAAGCACACACAGTATATGAAACTACAAGTAGAGCAACTGTTGGTTCGTGGTGCATGGTTCAGGTGCATCGTGTTGACCTCTTTAAGGGAAATCAAAGAGCTTTTACCTTCTTCCTTGGAGTCCAGTATCTTGTATTCGTTCGGCTGTTTATGAAGCACCTACTATTACATTGGCTGATTCCCTTCAGTTGCAAAAGGAATTAAGAAACTTAACACCTAATAGTTGGCATATGCTGTGCTATAAAAGAGGAAAACCAAACAATCCATGGTCCTTAGCCCTAAAGAACCTGTGGTGTATTCTAAGCTCCCTTGAACAACTTATATTCTCAACTCCCTTGAACTCCCTTGAACAAGTGTCCCATTATGGAAAGTTTGGGGTAGTTTGGAAACTCATGGACTCCAGATTTAGTGCTCAGGCCAAAACTTTTGTCTTCTGACTTTCCAAAGCATTGTTATCCAAGGATGACATTTTCCTGCTTTCCCTGCTGCAGTCAGTCTGGAGTCTCATTGAAAAAAAAAAAAAAAAACCCATACCCGTGTCATACAATAATCACAGTCTCTGTGGTCTCCCTCCAGATCCCCTTTTTGACCCCCCAACCCCACCCTAGTTTTGGTGCGCTATCACTTCCTGCACCAGCATCTTCAGATCTTCGGAGGACTGCCCATAGACTGCGGTCGCCCATTCTCTTCACACCTGGAAATTCACACCCCCTTGGGACAGCCTGAAACCAATGGCTGATCTGTGGTCCTTTGGCTCAGGTTCCCATGGCTCTGTGGTGTAGGTAATCCTCCTGAGTCCCCTGTGGGTTAGGCTGTAGCTACCCACCTCTGTGCACTATGCCCTTGGTTGGCTCCTCTCCTGCCTGACCTGCTCCCCCCACTCCCTTACCAACCTCTCCCTGGAGCAGTTCCTCAGCAGGTCCCTTATCTCAGGGTTAGCTTCTGGGGAACACAACATAGGATATGTGCGGTTTTGGGGGAGTCGGTATCTGGGAGACATCGTAAAAGAACTTTGACCACTCTTCCTTGGTGTTGAAACAAAGCTGCCTGTGCTTCCGTGTCCCTCTGCCAGCAGTGAAGGAGTCTTATGTTTGGTCTGATCTTCTAGGTGACACAGCGGCCGAGCTCCCATAAGATGAGGTGTCTTTTCCGAATTAGCTTCGTCCCAAAGGATCCAATTGACCTTTTAAGGAGAGATCCAGTTGCTTTTGAGTATCTCTATGTCCAGGTATGTGAGAATTTGAGCACATTTTGTATTAATATTGGGGGATAAATTAATGTGGGGTTTTGCCCCTAAATTCTTTTCTTTGGGATCTTTCTCTTTGCCCCCCACCCCAAGCTTCATGCGTTGTGAAATGATTCCATGGTGCTTTTTAAAATTTTCCTTTTTGATTTTGAAATCATTTCATACTTAAGTTACAAGAGTAGTAAAAGAATTTTGATAATTTTCACCCAGATTCACCAGTTGTTCGCATTTTACCATACTTTAGTGAGAACGCATTCCACCTTTGCAATGCCTGCACATGCGCACGCACACACACGTTATTTTTCTAAACCACACAAATGTCATTTACCAAATCCTGCTCATTTACCCCAACTACTTCTGTGTGTATTTCCTAGTAACAAGGGCCTTTTCTTACATAATTGTGGCACAATTAACAAAATAAGAAAATTTAACAGATACATTTCCATCCTGGTGTACAGTCTATACCCAGATTTTGCCTACTATCCCCCAAATGGCCTTTTTCTTCTAGAAACCCATTTTTTCTATAATAGGATCCATGCCAGGATCCCATTTTTGCATCTAATTGTCGTGTCACTTCAGCTCCTTAAATCCAGAATATTCCTCAGCCTTTCTTTGACTTTTGACACCGTAACAGTTTTGAGGAGTACAGGTCAGTTGTAGCAACCTCTCATTTTTCTCAAATTTCTCCTGATAAGGTTGAGGTTATGTCATTTGGGCAGAAGAAAGATATGCGTGACTTCGTGTCATCCTTAGTGCACCACATTGGGGGGTAGATGATGTCCATTTGTCCCCATAATGATGAGGTTGACTTTGACTCTTGGTTACGGCGATGTTCTCCAAATTTATCCATTGAGAAGTTATTATTTTTTTATAATTAATAAGTAATTTGTGGAGAGGGACTTGCAACTTTCTTAATACCCTTTCACTTACTGGTTTTAGTATTCCCTGATGGTTCTTGCCCGAATCCATTATTACTGCAATGGTTCAAAATGATGATTTTTCTAATTCCACTATTTCTTCTTCATTTATTAATTGGCATTCTACTATAAAAAATATTTTCTTTTCTTTCTCCTTTCTTTACTCCTTTATTCATTCATTTATTTGGTGCTTCAATTGTTCTGAAATGTGATATTCCTTATAATGGAATAATTAATTTCAAAGCAACAAGACTTTGTGAAAATAGTATCTTTTGCAGACTATCTCCGATTCTGGGTTACAATTCTCAAAAAACAAGGTTTCAAGAGATGAAAATCTTTGCTAGTTTGCCCCAGAGGGAATTTACTCATTTGACATTTAGGAGATATTCCTGTATTTTTCTGTAACTGCTTCCCATTACTCTCACTTAAATTCCCAGTACAATCACATTAAACAGTAAGAGCCCGTTTACCTGAAGTTTAAGCATCGCACATTAGATCTACTCAAAGAGATTGTAAACCTAAATGTAACCTCCCACGACACCAAAAAAAAAAAAAAAAAAAAAGGAGAAAATACCAAAACGAGGCCCAAAAAACCCCCCAAAGACGTGCTCCCTTTGGCTGAGCATACCTGTATAAGGCAAGGATTTCTGGAGCTGTAAGAAATAAAAAAAACAAAGAAGTTAGAAAAAGGAAAAAAAAGAAAAAGAAACCTTTGTTAATTCTAGGTAGTTAATACACTGGTTTTTGTTTTCCTATTCTCAGTATTTTCTTGTTTATTTCAAAACTTCTGTGGTCTTTAAAAAGTTGAGTGGATAAAGAAAACCAGTAGAAGATGGCAGAGAGACCTAGACAAGATAAATGCCAGAGGTTAGGAATGGTGACATAAATTAAAGTGGCAATAAGCCCTAGAGCACAGAAATTAAGTTGAAGGATAAAAAAAAAAGCAAGCAGAATGTGTACTAGAACATTCCAGCAGATGGGGCACTAAGGGCAAGGCCCGCTTAAACATTCCCCCACCTCCGTGGTCTTTGGAAGAGACTGTGCCACTTCCAGCTCAGTAGGATGATTAATGTTCCTGAAGATAACCCTGAGTCATTTGGAAAAGCCAAGTCCAATTCAGCGTGCCCTATTCATCAAGAAACGTGAAACTGTCAAGACCTGGGTTTTTAAAATGTTCCAGTTCGGTCACCTGGACCCCTGTTACCCCCCCACCCCGCCCCCGCCAGCCGAAGAACCCAGATGTGACTGCCTCATCCCCCTCATTTCTGTTAAGACCCAACCCTGGGCTTTGCCACAGCAGCTCAGAGGATACACTAGGTTTTTTTTAATCTTGTTAGTTGTAAGGAGATAGTTACAGGTGCTAGTCAGAGCACTGGTGTAGACAGATGTATGCACTTGTCATTCTCTATAATTATGTACTCCTTCCATTCACAAGAGGACGCTTCCAAACCATTGTCTCTGCCTGGGGATCTTGCTTGGGGACTTGAAAAAAATCACAGATGATGTTTCTGCTGATGGACCAGCCAGTCAGCTCTTCAAGGAGTAGCCAGTGGAGGGAGGGAAGGAGGTGGGAAGCCACGTGTGGTGGACTGAAACTAAGCTACCGTCATCTCCTGTGTCCGCCACCAAGAATAGGAAATGAGAATTTCCTGGCATCAGCCTGGGTCTCGCAGCATGTGAGGTACGTCTAAGACAACTTATCTAACAGAAGTCAGTGGGTCTGCAAATGGTGCTGGGTGCCAGTGTCGATTCTAAGGCACTACAAGGATACAGGAAAATTAGCCTAGAGAACAGAAGAGTAAGCAAAAGTGCTATCGCTCGTATGACAAAGACCGAAGTCCGTTCAGCTTAGTGGGTTCCTGTGGAGGACAACAGCCGTTGACTCTAGATGAACCATGACAATGAAAATAGAGGCACTCTCTGCTAACCTCCCACTCGCTAATGGGCCATGAAGTATCTTACAGATTTTAGCATATATAGTAACAGAAAACCCTAACCCTTCAGACAGGTGTAATTCATAATTTCCTGTCCGCTGTCTCGGCGCAGCATTGGTTTCCTTTTTAATACCCAACGTGTCTATTGTAAATGAACTGTTTTAGGCCTAGAGTAGAGCCTGTGAGGACCACTACAGCACATCCGTGCCCACCGTTTGCTTGTGTGAACTGTCCTTGAAGTCCTTTAGTTATGAGTTATAAAAGCATGATCTGTCCCACACGAATATACGTCAGACTTCTCGGTGATTCTCCAGGGTCAGTCTGAACTCATTATGTAATGTAATTAAGTGACTAATCACCTTGACAAAAACCTCACCCAGAAATCTGGTTAAACACAGGTACGAAAGGGACGGGAAGCAGCGGTCCCAGTCACAACTCCTTGGAGAAATGATGGCGGTGACTCACCCTAATAAAACACATTCCAATGTATGCAACATCCTTAAGAGGTGTGCCAACAACCTTGAGAGTTAGCCCACTTTCCAGGTAATAAAACAGGCTTGAGAGATGAAATGCCGCATCTGAGGTCCTTCACTCAGTGGGATCAAAGCTTTCGTCTCTCAGTCCTGCGCTAAAATCCTGGTTCACACGTGACCTGCAGTAGCAGTCCTAGAAGAAAGCCAGTCAGTGACACGATTGACCAGCACGCATCACGGGCTTATGATGGCCTTGCACTGGGCCCCGTGCCTTCCTCACCGTCACCCTTCACGAGACTGTAAGGTGACGTTCCACCCCATGGTGCCCCTTAATGGACACCCCTTAGGCCTTAGGATGGAGGCAGGGTTAGAACGGGACTTCCCTCTTAGGGGTGAAGGGATAAGCCGAGAGGCACGAACTTAGAGCATAGGGACAGAGCATGCGTTGTATGACCCCACTAGGGCATGGGTAAGTATTTGAAAGGTAAATATTCTGCGCAGAAACTGTACAGTGGTACATGTTCCCACTGAGTCAAATCAATATAGGAAGGGGTCACGGATGTGCTTTTCTTGGAAAAGAGCCACAGTTTCTGAGACCATTTTGCCCTTGAAATCTCAGAACAAGACAAACAAGGAAGAAGGAGGCTAGCCTAGTTTTCCAGAAAAATGCATGTGCACACATATGCAGGATATAATAAAGCAATACCGTGCTTCCCGGTTATGTGTAGCCCTGTGCCCTGCTCCTGACGACTGAGCACACCACTAGAAAGCCAGTCACTGTGGTCCCAGTGGACTTGGCACCTTTCAGGGCACCTGGGTGACTCAGTCAGGTAAGCCACTGCCTTTGGCTCGGATCATGATCCCAGGGTCCTAGGATCGAGCTCCACATCGGGCTCTCTGCTCAGCAGGGAGCCTGCTTCTCCCTCTCCCTCTGCCTGCCACTCCCCCTGCTTGTGCTCTCTCTGTCAAATACAGAAATAAAATTGTTAAAAAAAAAAAAAAAAACTTAGCACATTTCTCGGCCACTGTTCAGTTTGCCCCTCATCACCCTGTGATGTAGGCATTTCCCTCTTACAGATGAGCAAACTGAGGCCGGGGGATATGAGATGATGCTCTCAGAGCCCCAGCAGGGGTGGTCAGCACTGGAATGAACCAAGGATTTCCATAGCAACCCTTTACTGAGCGCACCAATGCATGGCTTTGATGTGTAGCTCTCGCAGTCTTCGCACAACCCCCAGTGAGGTCGTTAGCACAAATCCCCATTGCACAGATGAGTAAACTGAGGCTGCGAGAGTAAAGTGGTTGAAGTTATGTGTGCAGGGGGGCATTGGCAAAGCCAGGATTCTGAAGCAGGCGGGTGGCCGGGGGGGACACGCAGGGGTGGGGAGGGTGCGTCCAGAGCTGCTACTGTCCATCACCTTGCTAACTCCACCTCCCCAAAGCTGCTCTACACAGCCAAGAGGAAGTTAAAGATGTTCCTGATGACAGCTGTGTATGCCTCCAAACACTTAAAACATACCAGGTAGAGCCCTAAGGGTTGACTTGTTACCTCAGTTAATCCTCACCATAACCCTGTAAATGGGGGGCAGTATTGTCCCCAATTTACAAAAGAGGAAACTGAGGCACGGAACATTTAGGTTGCATGCCCAAGTGCCCTCCCCTCTGTAGTGGAGGAATAGGATTCGAACCCAGGATTCCAACCTCAGTAGAAGCCACATGTGTTTTTCGTGTTCTTTTGCAGCCCTTGTATTAGGAGACCGACCTAAATTCCTAATTATTCTTACAAAGCGCTCGACAGTTAAATAGCAGCTCACTTGTCAGTGAATGTGGCATGTTGCGCGTGGTCTCTGTGTCTGTGTGCGTGCAGTCCAGCTCCGACCGGGTTCCAAGCGGCCTGGTGGAAAGGTTTGCACGTTTGGCCTCCTTGGGGAAGGGCTGTCGCCTGTCCCCGAGGCAGCGCGCGGCGGCCCATTCGTTGACCCGTGGCGCCCTCTGCTGGTGTCTGTTGCAGAGCTGCAACGACGTGGTGCAGGAGCGGTTTGGGCCGGAGCTAAAGTACGACATAGCCCTGCGGCTGGCGGCTTTGCAAATGTACATCGCTACGGTGACCACCAAGCAAACGCAGAAAATCTCCCTCAAGTACATCGAGTAAGTGTTGAGCCTCGGAGGCGATTCAGGCCCAGGGATGCTGCCTCCGTAACGCCAAGGGTATTTTTGACGTCTGTCTCTGTTTCCAACATTGATGTCATTTGCGGCGGGGCGTTCGTTCAACAGGGGCGCCGCGTCCGCACATCGCGTCCGTTTTGCGGGGGGAGAGACCCACTTCTTCCATAAGCCGCCTTTAGCGAATTGTGGTACAAAGGAGGATCGGATGTCACATGAAGCGTCGGTTCTCAAAGTCCCGAACGGACTTGATTCTAAGCCAAGCTTTGGTCTCCGCGCTTTTCAGGCATGAAGGTCTTTAATTCTCATGACGTCCCTGGGAGAGAACTAGCCTTTTTGCTGTATTTTACAGATGCGCCAACCCAGGCACAGTAAGACAAAAGGCTTTGGCTGAGTGCCGGGGCTACTAGCTAGAGGGCTCAGGATTCGAACCCAGGTCCGGTGTGGGGTGGGGTGGGGGGGTTCCACCTTCTGCTATGGTCCGTGTGATCGGTGGAAGCACCTGTGTTCAGGCTGCCACCCCTCCCTTAATCTTGGTAGCTCTGATGAGTGTTCGTATTTCAAAGTTTATGGCAGGACAGGAGCCACATCTCCACGGAACAATAAGGCCGTAGAGCCCTCCCCATGTGCACGAGGGGTGGGCAAGCTACGTGAAATCCTTCCTTCCAGAGAAGCTTCCCGGGGGCTGCGTGTAAAGCCTTTCTAAATTCCTGCATGCCGGGTTGACCCACCAGGGAATAAAATCACTTCTTCTCAACAGAGTTCGTGAGCCTGTGTGGGGGACGGTGAGAGCTCCAGGTTGCTGACTCTGAGGCCCCTAGTCTCACAAATCTCGGTTCTCCCATCTACACCGAGGGACAGATCCTCATGTACAATTTGAGAACCTCGGGCTTTTCGTTCTCGGCTCACTCTTTCTCACAGATGGTTCATGTCTTTCTTGCCACACAGGCTGTGAGTGTCACCTCAGAGAGACTCAGCTCCCAGAGGGGTCTTACACTCAGTCGGACACACTCGCTCCCTCATCCGTTCCCCTTTCGTGTGTTCCTGGGCACGGATGATAATGGGCCTCTGTGTGAAAAGGCGGCCTGAGCAACCTGCCATGGTTTTCGGACCATTAAAATGCATTTCTGTTCTTATTGTCCGTCCCCACGTTCAGCTAGTTGGAATATGGTACCGTCAGAAACCTCCCAGAGATGACTCACTTGAGTAAGACTCTTACAGTCTATGATAATGTTCTCATTAATTAATTTACTCACCTGTTCACTGAGCATTTTATGTGGGATTCACGGTAGGCAGCGGAAAGTACAAATAAGCATAAAGGACTTGTGATCCAATTGTAAAGATACGAGGGGTGCCTGGATGGTTCAATTGGTTGAGCATCTGACTTCAGCTCAGGTTGTGATCTGGGGATCCTGCTTTGGCTCCCCACTCAGCAGGGGAGCTTCTCCCTCTCCCTCTTCCCCTCCCCTTGCTTGTGCACATGCGTGTGCTCTCTCTCAAACAAATAAATGAAATCTCAAAAAAAAGATAGATATGATTTAAAATACTGATACAAGTAGAATTACCAGGCAGCCTGTCAGGAGGGCAAGACAATGGGTAGAAATAGGTGCCCGTAGAGGAGGAGGAGGACATGGTGATCGTGAAAAACCCCATCATAACTAGCAGTGGCGTGGGTGGTCAAGTGGGGGGGAAGGCCGTCTCCCTACCCTTCTTTGGAGAGGATCTGGCATAGGAGAAATGACCAAATCCTGGCGGTCTTTACAGTATTTAGGAGACACTGGTTGGGCACCTGGCCAATCAGGGTAGAGTTCATAGATTTCAAAATATGGAGCATTGTTGGGATAGGGTTGTAGCCGTCGCTGGGCACATGGGCCTTCGGCAAACCTGTATTAACGCAGTCCTCTCTGTCTCTTTCTGTTGTGTGCACACCTATTGGTGACGTTCGCACTTCCCCATCAGTGTCATACATCCTTAGGGGTCATGAACCCCACGCTGATTGCACACCAGCAGCACTCCTCACATACACACACACACACACACACGCACGCATGCACACATACCAGGTAGAAATGTTGCTTGAAGGACCTTGACAGACATCATCTTGCTGGCAGAGAAGACAAGTGTGTATTTCTAGCGAAGCAGCCACTGGGGAGGAGGAAGGGAAGGGAAGAGAAGAATGGCTTTGGGAGAACGAAGGAGTTCCCCAGGCCCTTCTCAGTGAAGAGAGAAAGACCATGTGGGCTGACTGGGTGGGGGGATAGTAACTATGGCAATAAACAAAGGAACTGGGAGAAATTGTGTTGGAAATACATACTCAGACACATAAATGAACTCAATGGGACTCGGCGGTGGGTTGGATAAATTGTCTCTTCAATTCACATTGGTCCCAAAGGCATTCCCCCTGGAGAGGGAAGAACGTGTTTCCTTGAAAATGCAACCAGATGTATTACCGATCAGATAGTAGGTTTCCCAAGTGTAAATTCAAAGTTGCCTAGCTAATTGGGGACCTACCTCCATTTCCTGACTTCCTCACAGTTCGTTTGTTCCAACCAACATCAGAGCGCCATTTTGTCTTAGATAACTAATCATCACAAGATTGTGAAATTAAAGATATGCTCTTTATTGCAGAAAAGAATGGGGATTAGAGACTTTCCTTCCCTCTGCTGTGCTGCAAAGCATGAAGGAGAAGAACATAAAGAAAGCACTTTCACACCTTGTCAAAGCAAATCAAAACTTGGTACCACCCGGTAAAAAGGTATCACGTTTGCATCTTAATAGAAAATGGATTTTAAAGAGAAAGGCTTGTGTGCATTTTTAAAAATGCTTAAAATTAGTGCATGAATAAAATACTTAGCAAGCACCGAACTTTCAGAGGCAATAACTGTGTAACCACAACCCCCTCCCCCCTTTTTTTCAGTCAGTGTTCTTACGGAAACTTATTTATTTCTTGTAAGCTATAGAGTTATTATATGGAGTGTGCGTGTGTGCACGTGTGCACCTGTGTGTGCGAGAGAACCTTGCATAGCCACCGAGACCTTGTGATCAGAGAACAGAATTGCGAGACAGTTGTACGTTTCCGTCGTGCCATCTTCAATGCGTAGCAGCCAGCAAGGGTCCTCGCAAACCAGCTATCCCATTATTTAAACCAGGGTTTCTGCCTCCCCACTGTTGACATTTGCAATCATTCTTTGCTGGGGGGAGGGAGGCCCTCTTGTGCATTGTGTGGTATTTAGCGAAATCCCTGGTCTCTACCTACAAGATGCCCTCGATCGTGACATAGAAAAATATCTTCAGACACTGCCAAATGGGCCCCGGAGAGCAAAATCAGCCCTGGTTGACAACCACTGAATTAAATCTTACTTTGGAAGGGAAGATAAAATGATCTCTACCATTCACCATCGTTAGTGTTAAAGTCTCCCTTATTTTTTTTTATCAGAAGAAACAGAAAGGACATTTTAAAATAGATTGTGGGTCAGAATAGAGAGTTATGTGTATAGGTACTAAAAAGCAAAGGGTTTCAAGAACCAGAAAGAGGAACCTAAAAATACAGGACCTATAAAGTTGAAAGCAGTGTAACAGCCCAAGAACACTTAACAATTGATATTGGCCATAGAAACTTGGGCGGCTCTAATACAAATCACTGTTTATGTGGGTAATTCTTTGGTCTTGGTATTGGGTTATAAGTCATTTTTACTGGCCAAAACATACTTACTACTATTCCCTCCTCACCCCATGGCTTTTTCAAATGTAAAATCAGGTTTGACACCCTCTAGCCACTGTTGCCTTACTTCCTCATTTCTGTAAGCATTTAGCTCACAGAAATCCAGCGGGATGTCAGGGATCAAAATTTTGTAGGGGCACCTGGCTGGCTCAGTGGGTAGAGCGTGCAACTCTTGATCTCGTGGTCATGATTTTGAGCCCTGTGTTGGGTGTAAAGATTACTTAAATAAATAAACTTTAAAAAAACAAAAAGTTTTTCTTTTTTTTTTCAATTTCGGTTCTGATTGGCCCAAAGTTAATTTCTTTCGGTTGGCTCAATAGGATTTTTTTCAAGCATGGCCCACTGATTTTGTAATAATCGGCTGAACTGCTCTAGGATCTATCTATCACTGTTTTTCTCTGAAGGTCGGTTTTTCTAGCCAACAGTGAGTAGTTTGCTTTCAAATCAATTTGCAAAGTGCTCTTGGTTTTCGAAAGGAGAAGGACGGCTGAACAGTGCTCACTAACAATGTGTTTAGGCAGAGTTAACAATCAAGGACTCCTTTTAAGAGGTGGGAATCTCCATTTTTAAATCTTTAAAAGATCACTTTTATCTGGATAAAGTTTGTTTTTTTTTTAATATCCTTCACGATATTAAATATTTAGGATATTTAATATCCTTCACGAAAGCACCAACTCAAAAGGTGCTTGAGTTGAACTAATCAATCAGGGACTTCCGGCAAGCTCCAACATTTCCCCAATGATTGGAGCACAGAAAGTCTACCCACGCCCAAAAACTTACAAAGGCTGGAGGAAACTTGAGATAAGCTTGGAGAGCCTCTTTCACCGGCTGTAGGTAGATGGCCAGTGTGTGTTCAAAACGGCTCTCAGGAAATCTGTGTAGGTGAGTCTCCTGTACATGACCCACTTCGTCCCTACTCGCGATCAGAGAGCACCACTCGACTCTTGGAGTCTCCGATAAGCAGACATTTCAGTGGAATAGCTTACTATCTTGTTCTCATTTGTTGAGTGCCCTGGCCCAGCATATCCATATCTGTGACCCACCCACTCCCATACATTTCCCCCCAAATAAACAGGTTTTCATCTAGATCCCTTACTGCAGCCCTTTATCCTGAAACCCAACACATAGCAATTTACTTTGACTCTTCATCCAGACTCCTTGTCGTGCCCCCCAGTTCGCCCAGTTGTTCCGCTGGTCTCCGGCAGAAACCCGGCCACACCCACTGCAATTAACACCTGAGGTTTCTTTTCTCTCCTCAGCTGTCTGCGCTGCAAGCCAAGGTCCATTATCTCAAGTTCCTCAGTGACCTTCGACTGTATGGGGGTCGTGTGTTCAAGGCAACGTTAGTGGTAATTGCTTTTTGGTTTTTAGTGGGGTTTTTTTGTTTGTTTTTTTGGTGGTTTTTTTTTTTTTTTTTTTTTTTTTTTTTTTGCTTTCTCTTGGGAGCCACGGAGACCTGCAAAATAGCACTGCCACAGGCTGTCTTGAATGAGCTGCCTTTGACAAGAGCAAATCAGCTGTGAATCTTTTCCAGCCTTCATTTCTAAGCGACTGCAGCGCAGTCTGGAAATATCGGAAGAAATGTTAAACTAGATAACACCACTGTCGAATGCCCTAGAAAAAGGAATATGATGAACCAAGAGCATCGATGTGCTCTAACAATGGCCTTCTTTTAAATCATTGGGCCATAAGTTGCTTTCGTGTTAAAAAAGAAACAACAAAACAAAACCCAAAAATCCTCCTTTCTAAGAGTGTCTCATGATTATGAATGTATGTGCTGGGATAATAGTTACTTTCTACATTATTCATGATTGATCCACCTCGATGCGATCGTAATGTTTGGTTCTTCTAACTGGCTGATTTAGTACAATATAATCAAGGAATACTTGCTAAAGAAAATGTGATCTTATAAGAACAGACTGTCAGGCTCAAGTCTGCATGGTGTTTTAGAGGTCTAGGATTTTTAGGATTTGCTTCTCTCTCAGCAGGCGGAAAAGCGCTCAGAAGTGACTCTTCTGGTTGGGCCCCGATATGGCATAAGCCACGTCATAAACACCAAGACAAACCTAGTGGCTCTTTTAGCCGACTTCAGCCATGTCAACAGAATCGAGATGTTTACCGAGGAGGACAGCTTGGTACGGGTAGAGTTGCACGTGCTAGATGTGAAGGTAAATCTTTCAGCTGTTGACCTGGCACCTTGATCTGAAAAGCTCGTTTGTGGTAACACCAATATTATTTGCAAAGCCGTCGACATTGCATGGTGGGCAGAGGATCAGAGATGGGACGAGTTACAGAGAAAAATCCACCCATGTCCGGGCCGAGGCTTCCGGTCCTCCCTAAAGAGCTGTGTGATCTGGGGACTAGTTGTTTGACCACTTCATCTGTACACAAGAAAGCAAACGAGTTCGTTTCTAAGGTCCTCTGTAGCTCCTGAGTGCGTGAATCATAGAGAGAGAGTGGGAAGGTTTTTCCCTGCTAGCCTTCTAGAATATTCCTGTCCAGAGAGTCAGGGATATTTTTCCCAACTTTGTTTAGAACGGCCATTTGGCCCATGTGTTTATTCTTTGGGAAAAGCTAAGCATTTCTGTCAGTTAGCCTTTATCTGCTATAGCCGTTAGTACTGACTGGACAGCTGGCCCCTATGAATGTCATGGCCATTCCATTTAAAACAACAATCTGACATTGTCCTCAAAGGGCAGAACTCAACTCCCGAAGCAGAAGTTGACGGGAAATAATCCAGGTCCCCTCTACCTACCTTCTTGTCCCAGTAGTGGATGAGTCATTGGTTTTGGGCCAGATGTTTCCATGGGGAAAAGGAGGCCATGTCAGTCAGGAGGAGTGCTCTGAGAACAGGCGAGGGTTCTGTCTACACAGCAAATCGAAAAGCCTCTATAGTGGGAAACAGTGACTGTGGACTGCAGAGTATGGTGCTCAGACATGGCGGCCACGGCTGGTGGCGTTCATGGGCTGAATCCAGGGCCTCTGGTTGACTTCGTGGCAGTGCAAGCGCAAGAACAGACTTGGGACATCTGGCCCACTCTGTGAGCAGAGATGCTAACAACAGTGGCCCCCTTACAGAAAGAGCAGGGGAAAGGGGAAAGGGTGAATTGGAGGCAGTCATCACACACCTGATAACGGGATGATCCGACCCAATGGAAGTAGGTGGCAAGACCCTATGGGTGGTCTCCTGCTTTCCTATAAGGAAAGAATTGTGGGATGCTTTGAGGGAAGCCCTCAGTTGAAATGGAAAGAAAAGGCAGGTTATCAAGTAGTATGGGGGCTTTGGGTGGAATGGTAGATTCCATTAGCCAGGGCCATCAAACGTGGCCAGGGTCCTATAACTTGAACTGAAAGCAAGAGCTCGTCACCTTGATGTTTCTGTGCCTCTCTGGGTGTCTGCTTTCATATTGCTCCCTTATTCCTGTCAAGTTTTCAATCTCTCTCACCAAGAATCCACCAGCCAGTCCACCCTTACTAATTCAAGGAGACTAATTGCTTCAGCTAACCACCTCTTCCCTATATGCCCAAGCCTTGTCTCCAATTATATGCTAGCCTCACTCTTTCCAGAAAGTTTTACCAAGGGCTTTTCTTAGCTCCCATCTCTGGCTTGTTCTCCTGTGAATTTACAATTTCTTTTACAAGCAGCCCATCCTGGATCTTTTTGACACTTTGCATTCGGTCTTAGATGTAATTTCCACTGGAATTTTTACTTCTTTTCAACACTAATTTGCAATATGAACCCCAACTTCATCTTCCCGTGATTTTTTAGATCACAGGTTCACATTTGGTAACTGACCCCTTAATTGTCACTTTTTGAAAGTGTTAACTATTTGGAAACAAAACCAGTGTTGTTGTTTTTTCTCCCATCCCAATATTTCCTGGGAAGATTCAAAATGTCTCCGCTTTCAAGATGGTGTCACAGAAATGTTTTTCAGCAAGGCTCTTGGTGTTACTTCTGACCTTCTGTATTTCTCCAATGAAATGGTTGCCCAGTAACTTTCTTTGTTATATTTCATAAGCACCAATGCAACTGTTGTCAGCCTGAGGGAACTCATTAAGGAGGAATGGCTTTAACCAAAATATTCTCTTTTGTGTAGCCCATCACACTCCTGATGGAATCATCAGATGCCATGAACCTGGCCTGCTTAACTGCTGGCTACTACCGGCTACTTGTGGATTCCAGGAGGTCAATATTTAACATGGCCAACAAGAAAAATACAGGGACCCAGGAAACAGGTATTCTCTTCCTAAACTCATGAAGCACCACCCACCCCCTGCCTTACCTGATGACAATAAGAACATTTCTTTAAAAGTTAAAATTGTGCTCATGCAAAAATCTAGTGTCCAAACGCAATCCAAAAGCCTTCAAATAATTCCGATATGGTCTATTTTTTAAATGAAAATATTGATTTTTTCCATCCTGTTTTACTCGTCCCTTGGAAATGCTGAATATGTTTCAAAGGGAGTGATTTTCTTATTCTGAAGGTAGTAAGCATCAGTCTTCGTGACTGAGTTTTTATTGCCTTGCTCTTCCAGAACTCGGGATGGGGAGAAATAATGATGGAATGCACAGTAGGACTTGTAAGGCCCCCCCGCCCCCCCACCCCCCCACCCTGCTTAGGGCTTTTCCCTCCTTAAGGGGCCCTAGGCCTAGATGTCTGGGTACCTCCTCCTATATCCGACTTATATCCAGGATTCTGGGAGCTCTGAGACCCACTGGAGGACTTAGGGATCACCCAGTACTTGGACTTGGGCCTCTAGAAAGAACCCCAGCAGCCATCTTAGCTCTGTAGTGGGAGCACTGATATGGCAAAGACATCCAACCAGTTCAGCCACTTGACAGGACAAGATAGTTCCCAAGTGGGGACAAGGAGGACTGCGGTGTTAACAGCTTCTCTGAGAGTGGGTGGTTTTGATTTGCTTTAGAATTTCTTTTCTTTAGTGTTTGATTATTTTCTTTCATCTACTGGGGACACTCGGTAAATGTGGCTGATGGACAGACACTAGCACTCAAGCCAGAGCTGCTGACCCATGAACAAATCATCACGGGGGATTCTGAAATCAGGGTTTCTCTTAAAGGGAAAATCTTAAGAACAAATTCCATTGTCACCATTTCTTTTTTTTTTTTTTTTAAGATTTTATTTATTTATTTGTCAGAGAGAGAGAGGGAGAGAGAGCAAGCACAGGCAGACAGAATGGCAGGCAGAGGCAGAGGGAGAAGCAGGCTCCCCGATGAGCAAGGAGCCCGATGTGGGACTCGATCCCAGGACGCTGGGATCATGACCTGAGCCGAAGGCAGCTGCTTAACCAACTGAGCCACCCAGGCGTCCCCATTGTCACCATTTCTGAAAGGGGCCGAGGAGGGAAAATCCTCTCACTTTCCGACTTAGTAGAAAACGTAAATCGTTACTCCCTAAATATCTTGTTACTTGTAGATGCGCACAACCACACAGCTCATGCACAGCTGATGATGATGGCTGGGGAGGGGAAAGCAGTGGTCACAGAAAGAAGGGGAACCTGAGAGAAAATGAGGGCGATGGCCAAGGCATGCCAGAAGGCAGCTTGGAATTACAACTGGACGTGATCCAGCCCCACCTGGAAGCGTCTTGTTTCCATTTCTCTGAGTTTCGGTTTTCTCATTTGTAAAATCAGAACCAAGAAGCTAGTGGGCAAGGGAAGGGTACAAAAGGAATTTGTGTACAACACCTAAAAGGATGCCCAGAACTTCTGTCAACAAGGGACAGGGAAGCAGGAGTGGGAGAACTTGAGAACAAAAGTGACAGAAATGGAGAAAGGAACGGAAGACAGACATAAGGCAAGGGAAGACCCTGAGACACGCAAATGATCAAAAATAAACAGCTAAGGAACAAGAAGGCGGTGGCAAGGGTACGCCAGCTCTGGTGGTGAACATTTGTGGGATCACATGTTTTCGAGCTAGGAGATTTTGAACAACTTCGCCCCGGCCTGGGAAATTCCAAAGATCGGTTCTGTAGTGTAACACAACCCTTTCATGTTGGAGAACTGATTTTTTGCTTTTTATTTTCAAATCTTAAAGTTGATCTTGAAAATGGAACCTTTTTTCCCCATAGACTGTTGAGATTGTACAGGTGTGTTTAGAAGACGAAACCTACCATTTCAGCAACAGTCACAGTAATAAGGGCCTCCATTCTGTCCTTTCAATAGTGACTCACAATGTCATGTGACCCTCCGAAACCCAAGAAGCATGGAGGGTAAAGCCTGTTTAGACCAGCTCATCCCTGGTCCACACTGTCTTCCCACAAGATTAGGCCATGGTGTAGACCCCAGTTCCTAACCCACATCCTTCTGTGTCTCTGAAATCATTCCAAAAGCCAAGCCAGTACACCCTTTTGGAAGGAAGCCAAGATTGAGTGTGTATTTTCTTCTTACCTCAAATTGATCAGAGACCTTAGTCAAGATCTCTAATAAGGAACAGTGAGCTCCCATTTCTTCCCTATCCTGAAAACTAACCTTCAGTTACTTTCAGAACCCCTGAACCCACATAGCTATGACCTCTGAGCATTAGGAGGAGCTGAGTAAGTATCAATCAACCGTTTTAGCCACCGCTCTGTTCGGCTTTCATGTTGTTCTAAACCGGAAGTTGGCAAAAGATGGCTGACGGGTCAGATCTTGTTCTTGTAAATAAAGTTTTATTGGCACTCGGCCGTGCACATTATACTTGTTTCCTAGGGCTGCCATGCCAGGGTATCGCAAACCCTGAGGCTTAACGTAACAGGAACTTACTCTCTCATAGTTTTGGTAGCTACAGGTCCAAAATCTAGGCAGCAGCAGGGCCGTACTTCTTCCACAGGCTCAAGGGGAGAACCTTTTCTTGCCTCTCCCAACTTCCAGGGGCCAGCAGCATTCCTTACGGCTGCATGACTCTGATCTCTGCATCGCCTTCCCCACTTTTCTGTGGGGCCCCATATTTCCCTCTGCTTTCCTCCATAAGGACACTGATTGTTGGATTTAAGGCCCGCACGGATAATCCGGATGAACTCATCTCAAGAGCCATAACTGACTTATCCTTGCAAATGCTCTTTTTTCAAATAAGGTCATATTCACAGAGTGGACCTGTCTTTTGAAGAGGCCCCTGTTCAGCCCATTGCATGCATGTCTTTGTGTGGCGGCCGTGGCTACTTTCATGGGAGAAGAACAGAGTTGAGTGGTTGCTTGACCAAACAGTCGACCCACAAAATCTAAAATGTCTACCATCTAGCCCTCCCTTTGTAGGAAGAATTTGCCAGCCACTAGTTTAAACCCAGAGCTCTGTCACAGCTTTGCTAAACCCCTCTCCGTCTTCCAGCAATTCAGTCCCCCCACACACCGCCCCACACACAGCCAGTCGTCATCAAAATTGTTCATAAAACAGTGCTAAACCCCCATACGTCTGTTTATCATCAGGTAACATGTAAATATGGTTCTCGTGGAGTAGCTCGGTGTCTTCAAAATTATATCTTTACTTGCTACTCGCAAAAATACATGCATTTAACAAAAGGACTTGGAACAACATTCAGCATTGAGTTTAATGTGTACCATTTGGGGGAAGCAAACACATCTTCCGTAAAACTGATTTTTTTCTCCCCATATGTGTTGTACAGCTGATGTCAGTATTATCCAGACTTAGGCCCAGGGGCAATTTGAGGGCACAAATGGGAGAATATGTGGCCCCAACATTTCCTCAGAATGTTTCCTCTGGAATCTACAAAGCAATATTGACAGAATGACACCCTGCCTTGTCTTGTTAAATGTCAGAGCAAAATCTCCGCATCAGAATTCCCTCTTGGAAGACCCTTGAGGAACAGCCCAAACAATGATTTTTAAATTAGGGTGTTGCGATTTTAATTCATGAGGAACATCAAACAAACCCTCAGGAGTTCTCCTGATACCAATAACCATTGAAATTAGCCAAACTGTTAACTACGCTTGGAAACAGCAGAGAGGGAAAAAGAAAAGAAAAGAAATAGTAGAAGTACGTTACCTGTAATGCAGTCCACCTTACACAATCGTACATGTGCGCACATGCGCACACACACGGGCTTCCATCCTGACCTTTATGCGTGAAAATCTTAACACCCACTAGGATATACAAAGACTGAAGATAGCAGTTTTTGTGTTCTCATTACAATATTATCCTATTCTTATGTATGTCTTAAATTATTTTTACTGTGACATTATTATATTATCACTACAATATTTCCTAAAATATGTGGTGAAAATACAAGACTTTCTCTTAACTCAGTGAGGAAAAGGTCCAACATCTTCTTCCACAAGGTGGGGAATGTCAGCGCTTGCTTTACTGAGAAAACGGGGATCTATTTTCTGGAATGACAACTGATTGGACTATGGCCTTTAAGGAATTTGAAAGGCGTGTTGTATATTCCCATTCATAGGCGGAAATGAGGTCTTCTAATAATAGAACCAAGGGTCACATGGAGTTAAGCTCTAGTTCCCTATTCTCAGATGGTATTCTTTTTTTTTTTTTTTTAATCAAATAGCAATTATATTTTGTGCAGGCTCGATTTTGTTAAGGTCAGTTCTCCTAACCAGGAAAGCCTGATACCTGAAGCCTCCATCGACTGGTTCGCTATCCGGAAAGCTGCATGACCGTATTTCCAAAAGTGATACTACAAGCCATGAAATTAAGAAACCAGGCCTCCCAGTAACCTTGTCTTTGCATGATTCTTTTTCCTTAGGAACTGAAAATAAAGGAAAACATAACCTCCTTGGCCCCGACTGGAACTGTATACCCCAGATGACCACCTTCATTGGCGAAGGGGAACAGGAAGCTCAAATCACATATATAGATTCAAAGCAGAAGACAGTCGATATTTCAGATGGCACCTTGTGTCCCAAAGACCACCGGCACCTGTATCTAGACAACACCTATAATCCGGATGAACTCAACCAGCCGCTCACCCAGCCGGGAGACGCTCCGTGTGAGGCCGACTACAGGACTCTAGCTCAGCGGTCCTTGTTGACCCTCTCAGGACCAGAAACACTGAAGAAAGCACAGGAGTCTCCGAGAGGAGCTAAAGTGTCCTTTATTTTCGGAGATCTCGCCTTGGATGATGGCGTGAATCCCCCGACTCTCGGCTACGAAAGACTGTTGGAGGAGAGCCCGGAACTGCTGGAGAAGCAGAGGAGTCTCTACATGGCCAGTGCCAACGACCTGAAGGGCCTAGATCTCGCTCCGGATCCCGAGAGCATCCAGTTTGTGGCAAATTCCGTTTATGCAAACATAGGCGACGTGAAGAACTTCGAGGCTGCCGAGGGCATAGAGGAGCCCCTCCTGCATGACATCTGTTACGCAGAAAACACCGACGACGCGGAGGACGAGGACGAGGTGAGCTGTGAGGAGGACCTCGTGGTGGGAGAGATGAACCAGCCGGCCATCCTCAACCTGTCTGGGTCAAGCGATGACATCATTGACCTCACGTCCCTGCCCCCTCCGGAAGGGGACGACAATGAGGATGGCTTCCTGCTTCGTTCCTTGAACATGGCCATCGCTGCACCCCCACCTGGCTTTCGAGATAGTTCAGATGAGGAGGACTCTCAGAGCCAGGCAGCCTCCTTCCTCGAGGACAAGGAGCCAGGCAGAGGTCTGCAAGGTGATGAGATCCCCGTGTCCCTCATTGACGCGGTGCCCACCAGCGCCGAGGGGAAGTGCGAGAAGGGCCTGGATAACACCGTCGTTTCCACTCTGGAAGCTCTAGAAGCTCTGTCCGTGTCAGAAGAACAGCAGACCAGTGACAATTCAGGTTCTTTCACGATTGTTACATTTATTCACTGATAACCGTGCATTTCGTCCTCTCAAGCCATTTACCCCCGGAGTCCTGTTACCTGCTGTTCTCCATTTCACGCATGTTCCGTTTCATAAGTGTGTTGAAACAACCATTGTGGGTTTTTTGTGTATATGATTTCCTTTGTTTTTTTGTTTTTTTATTTTAATATGTGGCATGTATTTTTCCTCATTTCTGGAACAATTGTGCAATAAACTCAGAGTCCTCACTGCAAAGGGAAAACCTTGTTTTTTTTGTTTGTTTTTTGTTGTTGTTGTTGTTTTTTTAGTAATAACGAGTCCCATTTTCTTACGTGTCTCCTAGTGCCTCTGATGCATCCAGTAATCGGTTCTTGTCTTTTACGGCATGCAGGTGTAGCCATCTTGCGGGCTTATAGTCCCGAGTCTTCGTCAGACTCGGGCAATGAGACTAACTCTTCCGAAATGACTGAGAGCTCTGAACTGGCCGCAGCACAGAAGCAGTCAGAAAGCCTCTCCCGCATGTTCTTGGCCACTCACGAAGGCTACCACCCGCTGGCAGAGGAGCAGACAGAGTTCCCCACCTCCAGAGCCCCCGCCGGGGGCTTGCCTCCCAAGTCCTCCCACGCCCTGGCCGCCCGCCCCGTGACTGACCTCCCGCCCAAAGTTGTGCCTTCCAAGCAGATCCTTCCCCCAGACCCTATGGAGATGGAGCCCGAAACCATGGAGACCAAGTCGGTCACTGACTATTTTAGCAAACTGCACATGGGATCGGTGGTGTATTCCTGCACCAGCAAAAGGAAAAGCAAGCTGGCCGATGGGGAGGGGAAGGCTCCCCCTAGTGCGAACCTGCCCGGGAAAAAACAGCAGGGGACCAAAACAGCCGAGGCAGAGGAGGAAGCCAAAGGTAAATTTGGTACCGTGTCTTCAAGGGACAGCCAACACCTAAGCACTTTTAACCTGGAAAGAACTGCCTTTCGCAAGGACAGCCAAAGGTGGTACGTGGCCACTGAGGGGGCGGTGGCCGAGAAAAGTGGCCTGGAAGCGGCAACGGGGATCCCATTCCCGAGAGCTTCTGGTCTGGGGACCAGGGAGGCAGAAGAGAAGGTTGAAGGGGCTCCTGACGGAGAAGCCAGTGAGGTTTCAGCGCTTGGCCAACGGGATCACTTCTTAACGGACGTGACCTGTGTATCTTCACCCAAAGACTTAGATAATCCCGAGGACACCGACCCATCTACCTGTGACCATCCTTCCAAGCTTCCTGAGGCGGAAGACAGCGTGGCCCGCCTTTGTGACTACCACTTGGCCAAGCGGATGTCCTCGTTACAAAGCGAGTGCCATTTTTCTCTGCAGAGCTCTCAAGGCTCGTCAGTGGACGCGGGCTGTGGCACGGGCAGCAGCAGCACGAGTGCCACACCCGTGGAGTCCCCACTCTGCCCCACCATGGGCAAGCACCTGATTCCGGAGACTTCAGGGAAGGGCATGAGTTATGTTCCCTCCGAGGAGAGAGCCTCTGGGCTGCCCCCCCACGGAGCCACCTTTAAGGAATTACACCCACAGGCAGAAGGGATGTGTCCGCGCATGGCAGTGCCCGCCCTGCACACAGCTATTAACGCGGAACCCCTGTTTGGCACTTTGCGAGATGGATGTCATCGACTCCCCAAGATTAAGGAAACCACAGGTACAGCAATGATGGATTTAGTGCTTTGCGTTATGCGCCCAAAACACGTAAACCAGATTTACGACAAACCGAAAAATACAAAGTCTGGAAGAAAAGGACAAGTTAGGGGGTTTTGGGTTTTTGTTTTTGGTTTTTGGTTTTTTTTTTAAAGGCTGCAAAACTATGGCCAGGCTAAGTAGCGATCATGGATCCTCCCCTCCCCCCCGCCAGTGTTCGGTGAACACTGAAGTTTCTGGATCTGGATCAAGAGTGGGAATAGCATTTGCTGTTTGGACTCTTGTTCTGTGCCTGCTTCCAAAATGTGGGGGAGCAATACATTTTTTTTTCTAAATTCTAAATGGGGATTTTTAGCAGCATTCAGCAGGACTTTTGGTTATGAGACAGTATGATGTAGAGCCCCAAGAGTCTGATGTCCATCTCAAGACCTCGAATTTCTGTTTTTGCCATTTCTTATTGAGGGGCAAGGAAGGCTAATAGAGCAGGGTAGTGGGGAGGTCGAAGGGGTTAGGGAAGATCATTTGCCCTTCACTAGTACTTACCATCCCAACCTACTCTGTAAGACTTTCTTAGACACGTGTCCTAAAGTATCTGGCACACCTTGGGGTCAGGAAGGCCCCGGGGGTACGCATGACGAGCTGCTTCATTTTCCCCCAAAGAATAAAATAGGGGCACAGGTAGAAACAAGAACACGGACACCTTCTGCACCCACCTTCACCATTCTGCCACCCAGCGGGCACATAGTCCTCTCACCAGTCTACTTGGCCAGCCATCACATGGCAAAAACCGATGTTCTTTCACACTCTCAAATATCAAAGTATATCAGCAATTATCTCTTCCATCCTAGGTCAGTAGATGGTAGGGAGAGCTTACCTTGGTTCTCCATTTGTGCCATTTTAAGATGATCTCCTTTCGCAAACCCACCGTTGGCACCACCCGCCTTGGGAAACCCGTCTATGAATGTTCCTTAACTCATGACTCCACTAGCATCTTGACCTCCAGTTCAGGCATGCTGTTTACTCTTTCATGGTTTACCAAGAGCTTTCCCCTGGCGTCCCTCTTCTCACAAAAATTCTGTGAGGCGGGAATATTTTCTTCACATGGCAACTTTTTTTTTTAAACTTAAATTCATGTGACAACTTTTTTGAGAGAAGTTGGGCAACTCGCCCAGGGTCTCTGCTTCAAATCCAGTACCAGACAGACCTAGTGGGGTTCTCTTGAAAAGTTGACCTTATTTACTTTGCATTCATTAAATTAGACCACCTTGGGGAAAAAAAAAAAAAAAAGATAACTGATGCCAGGATTAACCTAACTCTCTTGGAATGGAACTTCAGTGTCCTAAATATGTTTGCACAGTCAAGATCTAGGGTGTGTGTTTTCTAATTACATGTCTAAATGCCAATAGATAAATGTGGGGGACAAGGCAAGTCATGAAACGCCATGGTCTCCGAAAACAATTGTGATTCCAAAGAAAACCGTAGTTTCAGAAATAACAGATTCCCTGTCTTTCTTGAAATGTTTTGAAATGGAAATCTGATGAGATCTCAGGGGGTAGCCATTGAAAAGGGGGCCGACCCTGACAAATGCGGCCCTTCTAGAGTACATCCTCGGAAAGTGACAAACAGCACATAGAGATTGAGTGAAAATGACCACCCATGAGATGCTTAATGATTCTCTCTGTTTCTCTGCTACCCCTAGTGTAGCTTTGACAGAGCCTGGGAAGGAGAGACGAGGAGGCATGCCTTCAGCTTGGTCTCAACATCCTGAAGCTGATCCCATCCTGCTACCATCAAACCTTCACTCGGAATCAAAGGTGCCAAATCCAAATCAAGACCCTAATGATTTCTCCCAAGCAAATCTGGCATATGGAGAGGCTGTGAACTGGCGGCCACTGGATCTGAGAGGGGGGAGCCTCGGAACACCCCCCAGCCAGAGGGCTCTGGGATGTAGCAGCAGTATCCTCTTGGGATCTGTAGGTTTGGAGACCTTCCAGGAGAGAACCAAGGGTGCGGTCAGCTTAAAGTGTCCGGGTATCACGGAAGCACAGGAGGCCAGTTCGGAAAGGCGAGCAGAACTCCCCCTGGGGAAGAAGCTCACCAAAAGCTTTTCCCAAAGCTCGATGTTCTTTAGCTCCGAAGGGAAGGGTCACAAAAGGTCCCCGGTGGCTCACAAAGACTCCAAGCTGTATAGGACATTACCCTTGCGCAAGCTGGAAGGCAGCAACTGGAGATGCCGGGGACCTTTCAGCTACTGCTTCCTGAACCGAGGGCAGGATGAAGAGGGTGATGAGGATGAAGAGGAGGGAGAGGCCACCCGCCAGGTCTCTTGCCTCTTTCGACCACAGATGACTCAAGCCATGCCAGAACCCATCAGTCCGCCTCTGGCTGTTGGGATTCAGAAGCAAGGAGGGGAGCTGACCAGAGCGTCAGTGCTGAAGGTCTGGGCGGAAGACCTGCCTGGCCCAGAGGATGCGGACTTTAGCAACCTGGCCTTTGATGCCCGGATTGCAAGAATCAGTGCCCTAAAAGAGAGCACGTACGCCATGCCTGATGGGTTCCTCGCAGCCCAAAACGATGCCAATGAGCTGCTCTGCCTTGTCAGGGCGACAAAGGGGAAGAGAGAGGAGTCACGCCCGGAAGCATATGACCTTACGCTTTCTCAGTACAAGCAACTGTTGTCCATCGAGTCCAGACAGTTGGGAAGTGCCTGTAGGAAACTGGCGATGGCCGAGAAGAGCCCAGAGGAGATGCTCCTAGCCATGACTTCCAGCTTTCAAGTGCTCTGTTGCCTAACGGAAGCTTGCATGCGATTAGTTAAAGTCGTGAACTCAGAAACACAGCGGCAGGAAATCGTAGCGAAGATCAACGAAGTGGTCATAAACTACATTTGTCTCCTGAAAGCTGCAGAGGCAGCCACGGGAAAGATGAGTGGGGATCCTAATGTTGGACTCTCGGCGCGACATTCAACCACCATGGCCGCCCTCGTAAGCACACTAACGCGTTCTCTCAAGATGCTTTTAAATAAATAAAGTATGAAAGTCACATCATAATCTACCTTTGCAAAGCCATACGTGAACGTTTATTTACTTTATGTGTACGATGAACAGATGTCTCCTTTCTTCTCTCTGTATATTTTGTTATTTTATATAAAATAGGAGATAAAAGTCACACTGATGAAATGTTGAAATGTACTAATCAGATGTATTCTGTTTATATTATACATATATATACACACAAAAAACAAATATCCAACCAAGTGATGACATTTGGCTATTTTTCATATAGTTGAAACTCCAGTTAAATGACGTGAAGTTTTAAATTTTACCGTGTTAGAGCAAAACAATGAATCCTATCCCCTCTCCCTCCAAGCGGACACTTGGAGACCATATCATTCATACTTAGAAGTTAGAAAGAGAGAAAGAGAAAGAAATCACAGTGTATATAAAACAGTACTTACATTTTAAAATTACGATTTTTAAGCATTGGCAATAGCAAAGAAGATGTTTAAAATTCAAGAAGCTATTATGAATTAATAGAGAATATATATAATTAATTTTAATTTTTTGCTCCTAGTGTTTGGTTATCTGATGCTTTCGTCCAAGAATCCTACATGAAATTTAATTTTGGCTTATGCCGTTTGGACTCGAAACGGGATGGGGGTGGATTCTATTGTGTCCCTACAAACGCTCATCACGTTGTTTCTATAATTAAAATACTTCCCAAATAGGAGAAGAGAGCTAACGATGGGCAGGTTCCTAGTTAATACCTAGAGTTAGAGATTATCTAGTTACATAAAGTGAAAGCAATTAATAATATCAAAATTAAACTTTTGATGAAAAGAGAGATCTCCTTTGATTTAATGTCAAAATATATAAACCAAAGACGTCATCTTCCTTCCCACCCCAACTCAACTGCGAAACTTAGAATTCCATTAAGAGTGACAGAACATTGAGTGAAGTATTTGCAAAATTACCAAAAGCAACAATCAGTGATCATCGGAGTCCATGCAGATCCAGTCCCATAAAGCGGACGGGACGCCAGCCTGTGAGGCACAGCGCTCTACCTAGAGCTCCGTGCATCACCTCGACAGGGGCCAATGTTTCCAACCAAATTTGGAATCCCAGCCTAACATCGGGACAGTTTCAAATCCGGAGTGTTCCAGAAAATCAGGGAGAGATGGCTCCTCTATTACAGAAGCCATGATCAACAAAGTGTTTAGGAGAAGTTCTCGTTTGGATCAGTAGATAGAAATAGGTAAAGCTGGGGGGTAAAAAAAAACAAACAAGTGGTAAATTTGACCACTTTTGGGGAAACTGATAGAATGTAAAGAAATTTTCAGAACTGTCCTCTGTCTACAAATATATCTTTGGGTCAAAGCAAAAGGACGCAAGCCGCAACTGTCAAATAAAATTGAAATGTACATATGTACTTAATGGGTCATTTAGTGCTCAAGCTCCACCTACTCCTGTTTGTGTAGACGGCTCCTTAAAAGATGACAGGAGTATGCCAGGTGCAAATACTTCATTTTTGTAGCCTACTGGGCAGAAGGCGTAACAGTCTGTAGTCGCTATCTCTTCTCATCAGTCGTTTCATAGAGACTCCATCCCAAAAGTCACACATATTTCTAGATGGTAGCAAACAAAAGGAGTTTAGGTGTGTGTTATTATAAATAATGTTTAAATAATACAACATTATTTTCTTATAATTATAAATATTGGTGTTTGATATTGATCAATATTAATGGTGTTTACTGTGGAAACTTTTGGTAAATATTCTGTGTACTAAAATGCTAACATTAATAGGATGTGTGTTCTTTGTCAGACAATGTGCTGAACATATCACATATATTTAACCATCACAACAATCTTATGGTTTGGACACTTGTTAATTCCCTATGGAGGCAATATGGTTTAATCGTTAAGGACATGGGGCCTGGGGTCAGAACCTTCTTGATTTACATTTGGACTCTGCCATTTTCTACCCCTTTCATCTTGGGAAAGTTAATCTGTATTTTCTAAATCTCGATTTCCTTAGAGGAAAACGAAAATCTCTTTCCATAGGATTGTCATGACTTTTAAGTACAATCACGTGTGTGAAAGTTTTACTGCATTACCCAGCAGAGTAAATACTTAATGTTAAGATAATTTCGTCATAGTCATTACGTCAGATATATCGCCCAAGCTGATGGGGGGCGGGGTGTTTGCTTTATCTGCATATTGTCTCCTGCCTGTACGTGCAGGACACATTCTGTGCGTTGCATGTGTCTAAAAGGAGCGTACAAGGAAGCGGTGATCCTTGTTCAAATCCTGTCCAGTTAGAACAGCTTTCAGTCCATTCCAGTTCTTTGAGAGGCCTCTGTGAAGCAGCTCTGGGTCTTTCCAGATCATCTCCCATTACCTATGGGTGCTCTGGTCCATTTCTGTTTCTTACAAACCCTTAGTACTTTGAAAACCTGAAGCCCCCACCCACCCACCCAATTCACTACACATGGGGCTCCTGAGTGGGGTCCAGGTCCACTAGAGTGTAGGAAGAACATGTTCGAATGATCCTTGTGTTTATTTTTATCTAGCCTTTTTTATGTTTGTGTATGTTTTATAATGGCATAATAGTATGGTGGTGTATGTACATCATTTTAAATAAATAAATCAATTAATAAGCATATGCCTGGTGCATGTATGCAAAAATCTTGTCACAGGTAGGGTCGCATTCACACGAGTTAGGAGACCACTGAACTAGAGAATAAAACTTCCTTGTAACTCCAGGTCCTTTTTTTTTTTTTTTTTAAGATTTATTTATTTCAGAAAGGGGGGAGAGCACGCGTGGGTGGCGGGAGAGGCAGAGGGAGAGAAAAGCAGACTCCCCACTGAGCACAGAGCCCATCGTGGGGCTCTATCCCAGAACCCTGAGATCATGACCTGAGCTGAAACCAGGGGTCGGTTAGACTGTGCCACCCAGGTGCCCCTGTACCCGTGGTCCTTTATACTGAAGTCCTCAGCCTGGTTTTCCAAGTGTGTCACTATTAATCTTTTATTCTGAGGCTTTGAAACATACACAAAAGTAGACACAGTCATATAATGAATCGTGTGTACTTCTCACACACCAGTTCATTTCGTAAGAACTTCTTACAGGTGACTTTTAAACATAACCACAATGCCATTTTCACACTTCTAAAAATCAATAATTTCTTAATGTTATCAAGTAAATATTAGAGGAGAAAGTGAAAATTCCTATAAACCCAACCCCCAGAGACAGTCCTCGTCAACAATTTAGGGCACCTTCTTTCAACTTCACATATATATGTACGTATATATCATTGTCTGGGTTTGTGAGTTTAACATTTGACTCAGAGTTGGTCTGACTGCAAGTGCCCTTCTCGCTGCGCCCCCATTCCAGCATACTTTATGTAAGTAGATTGGCCAGAAGGGGTATGATGGACGTGGAAAGAATAAGATGAAATAAGAAAGATGAACCCCACAGCATTAGGCTTCTAGTAACATCCAACAACTAGTGCAATTGCTTCAGACACTGAAATTAACACAGACTCCCTAGGCCCAACTGCAATCAGTCTAATAGCAAAATAAATTACTTTCCAGAAAAGAAAGACTAACAAATATTGGAATGACCAGTACAGCAACACTGCAAGGAATCAATTCCTTTTGCTAGGAATTTCATCTTCCATGATGATCTGTCTTAAGAAAGACAGTCTTCAGTTATGTTCCTTTTTCATGTATTTCCAAATGCCAGTTACTCTCTGAATGATACTTCTGAGCTACTCTGGGTATTACTCTAATTTATTTCTCCTGGATTACTCTTGGTTTGGCAATGGGAGAAATCCACTCTCTTTTGTTTACCATTCATAATTGTGTTAACTGATTTTTAAATTGGAAAATGAGCAAATCGGCTCTGTTTGCATGATTCCTTATCTTTAAACAAACATTTAGAAATCTTCATAAGGATCAAAATATATATATTACATTGTTTCTCTCTAATCTGACTTTGTCTCCACATTTTGGGGGCTGGAGGGGTGCTTAGAGGTGGGAGATGTCTGAGGAGCTCTGTGTGGGTGGGTGGGAGGGTAAGACTAGTTTTCAGTTTGGTTTTATGGATTCCAGGGCTGGTTTCCCCTGTGACAGTCCAAAAATTATGATAAAACGTTCTCTGTATAACATTCCCAAATCTTCCTTTAAAGTTAACATCGCAGAGATAGCTTCCCTGCTTTGAAAGATCAGAGTTGGAATCTAACCTTTTGAACTGAATTTTTATTCATAAGATCTTGAACATCACTAAGCTGGATACTTTTTCATTATCTCCCTGTTCTCTGGCCTACCCGACTCACTTTTTAATTTCCAAGCCTATACATAGGAAATCCATATCTTTATCTAGTGTTTCTGCTGCAGAAAATAATGGAATGAATTAAATCCTGGGTCACTGAAATAAGTAGATAGCCACTTATCCCACGTAGCTTATTTTGCCATTCAATTTGAAATTAACCTCCTGCCTTCAGCTAAACTTTGTCCAATCTTGCCTCTGTATTTATGATTGCATCTCAATTTTCAATCCAAAAAACACCTCAAAGCATTGAGTTGTTTGTGGGTTTCTTTGGGGTTTTTTCATTCTCCCTATTAATTCTCATTTTCTACTCCACAGCCTGGACCAAAATTTTGTTTGCGGCATTGTCATTCACAACTTTAGGGGAATTAGCTTTGGCAGTGGAGGTATGTGGGATTTGAGAAGCTGAGCCTTCTTGCTAACCTCCAACCAAGTAATGTATCTGTTTTCACTTTGATTAGTACCTTTTGCATGTCTTGCCCTTTCACTGAACGATCCAATACTCCTTTCTGTCACCCACTTAAAGAGTCAAGATGAGTCCGTTCATTCATTCCTAATCTGGGCAAACACTGCTAGGTGCTGGAGGTGGGACGTGATGGTGAATGATTGACATGGTCCTTGCCAAAAATGGAGCACCCATTCTAGAATGGGCCATTCCTCAAGAAAGGAGGGGCTCAGAGTAAGTGAGCATTGCAGGCAG